ACATTGACTAAACAACAAGAAGGTGGCTTTGTTGAGTTTCTTTTTCTGACTAAACCGTGAGGAGACCAAGGCTGAATTTGTCGATGCAAAAAAATTCTCTCCAAGATATTTCAAATGCACATAGGTCGACTCAGCTTTTCATGCTGAGTTAGAGTATCATATTCATTTTGATCAAATCATAATTTTTGTAACCAATATTTGCTAAATATTAATAAAACAGGGGCAAATTTAAGAATATACTGGAATAATGAGCTCTGCTTTTTTCGATCTTTTCTGAAAATTTTTCTCAATACGTTAATGAAAGTTTTTAGAGCACAAAATGATGTCTTTCTCCAACTTTTATTTTATTTGAGTTTTGACTAATCGCACTTGCTTTATACTTTCTTTCCCTTTCTTCTCACTTTTTTCATTTTTTTTGGTATTCTTTTTATTTTATTTTTATTTTATTTCACTGTCTTTAGGACTTTATTTACTTTTCCTTCATAGAAAATATAGGAAATTTAACTCCATCTTTAAGAACATGAAAAACAAAAAATAAAGTGAAAGTGACACCTCTGTTTTCTGTCCAGAAATGATTCTTTATCCCAAGGGGTAGATGTCGTACCGTGACGAGAACGATTTATCGATTTAGATATAGCAAAGATTAATTCTTTCTTTTTGTGAGATCTTTTCGGCACTATAGGAGAGATTTAAAGAAAAACAGATCTTCTGTCTTCTTGACAGCCATCTCGATGAAATATGGGTGTGGGTGTGAGTGTAAGTGAGTATTTGATGGAGGGATAACCCACACACACCCACACCCAACCCCCAAAAAGATACAAATAACCTCGACCCATGCTAAAGTTTTATGCTCTAATTCGATGATCTTATCTACAAAGATAAGAATCAGAAAAAAGTGACTGTCTCCGACGAATGTGAAAATGTTGTTCTTCTATCCTCTTACATTTCATGATAAATATTAATACATACAATAACAAAAGTAACCACTTCACATACCTTTCAAATTGAAAAAATATTCATATAATCTGTTGTCAAATCAAACGACAACAGGCGAAACATCAATCGGGTTGAGTCTGGTCTATCAACATGGCCACTGCTATGCCAACCACGGATGAGTTTCATACAAAAGTTAATGACATGGAACTTGAAATCTTCTCCCTTATCTGGCTCAACGCTAATACCAAAATCACAGACAATCGAGATACAGAACAAAAGTTACGTTCTATTATCAATCGTCTCACGAAATTTCAAAATGTAAATGAATGCCAAAAATTTATTGAAGAAAAATCACAGCATGAACGAGTCGTCATGATTGTTAGTGGCCGATTAGGAAGAGAAATAGTGCCGTCTATTCACAAACTTCGACAAGTTATATCAATCTATGTATACTGCATGGATAAAGAAGGTAATAAACAATGGGCATGCAAATTTGGAAAAGTAAGATTAACCAGAGTGATTTCAATTATATTAAATGATTTTTTTCTTGATAGGTAAAAGCTGTTATTGTTGAACTTGAAGATCTCATATGTCGAATTACAGCTGATCATAAAATCCAGAAAAAAGTGGAAGAACCATTATCAATTAATATTTTTTCTACAAATGCCGACGCAGGTAAATCAACAACAGGCTTAAATGGTCAATTTGTTTTTTATCAAGTTCTAATTGATTGCCTTCTGCGTCTAAAGTACACTAAAGCAGACAAAAAAGAACTTATTCAATTATGTAAACAACAATATGAAGATAACAGTGTGGAATTGAGCAATATTCATGAATTTGAACAAGATTGGTCATCTAGTAATGCTTTATGGTGGTACACACGAGAATCATTCTTTTACAAAATACTTAATGCTGTTCTTCGTAAGCAAGATATTCATTTTATTTTTTTATTTCGTTCATATATCTTGGATATTCATCATCAATTGAAAAAACATCAATCTGTGAATTCTCTAAAAGTTTATCGAAGCCAAATGATATCCAGTGATGAACTAAAAACTTTCCAACAAACTCATGGTCAGTTTATTTCAATTAATTCATTTTTTTCCACCAGTACCAATAAACAAAAAGCACTGTCATTTCTCAATGTTCCTACTGGTATAGAAAATTTGGAGCCAGTATTATTTGAAATCGATGCGAATCCTAAGATGGCAACTGCAAAATCATTTGCTGATATTAGTTCGTATAGTGAATATAAGGATGAATCCGAAGTGCTTTTTATGCTTGGTTCTATTTTTCGCCTGAACAGTGTCAATCATAGCAAGGATAATCCAGTGTGGATCATCCAAATGACATTGTGTAGTGATGATGAACATGATTTAAAACAAGTTCTCGCCGATATGAAACAGCAGCTTGGTAGTGGAGAAACAAATCTTCAAATATTAGGAAAAATATTATCGGACATGGGAAAATTTTATTTAGCTGAAAAATACTTAACTGGTTTTTTGGAACAACTTCCACAGAATTATCCATTACTTGGCAGTCTGTATGAAGATCTTGCCAAAGTCGCATCACAGGCTGGTGACTATAACAAGAGTGTTCAATGGCATAAAAAAGCTGTAGAATTCAAAAAATCAAATCAACCCACTGCCAGTTCAAATACTAATCGAGCCATGAGTTCTACGGGTAAGTTCATTGAAAGAAAATCTATCACCGCAAAGCAACTATCTCACATGAAACAAAATATATTATAATGAGAAAAAGTTTTTGAGTAATGATAAAAGCGAAAGCTCGTGGAACATGCTACTTGATCTGATCCATAAATTCTAGTTTTTGCTAAATCAACATTCATTCCAAGTATTTGATATGGTCGAAGATCACCATGATACCAATACAAATATCTACTATCATATGGCCTAACTTTGATTCTTGTCTTCTCCGACTATTGTCTTGGAGCACTTGTTTTTCTTTTATGATAGCACTGATGTTTATTTCTTCTTTCTCATATTTCTATATCATGACAATAATGCTGAGAGCATGAAAGATGTTATTACATAAGAATAAGCTTTTTTAAATAGATATGACTATTGCAGTAAATAGTAAGCATGGCGCTTAGACTCAATGTATTCTAAATGTTTCTAATGAATGGCACACAAGAGCACTGTTCATAAGCCGGGCTAAAGCCAGAGATGGAATTGGTGCGATAGTCCCCACCCGCAGAACGATTGAAACGCCTAGAGGAGTACAGACTGATTCGTTCTCATAATCCAAAAAGTAGATTTCTTCTATGACGCTTCCCCTCCTTTTCTTAAGAATTTCTGGCTGCGTGTCTGCTCATAAGTTGATTCTAATATACATATATTGAAAGAACGGTGCGGTATCAGCTACACTTTTATATTCTTTCAATAACATTATATTATTATGAATAGAAATTCTTGCAACTTTCAAGATTAATGTTATTTTACAACGAATATCATCGTACATCGTGTAATTTACTCTTTGCCCAGTAATATGCAGTATTGTATACTTTGTTTATGTTCTTTTTCTTTTTGTTTCTCAACGAAGTGATTACCTCTTCTTAATACCACCCAACCCTTGATGAAAAAAGTCATAGGATTATTTATTTCATGAAAAGAAAAACATTTACTATTTCAAAGCTCTTTTCTGACTACCATAAAATCATATACAAATATCTTTGGGAGTTTTTAAATCGTGTTCATTTCTATATATCACCTTTCACGATTGTAAATTCTATTACGTATAATATGGATACTATTATAGGAAACTGTTCTTAATAATAGCACATTTTTACGAACAATATGACAGAAATCGAGTTTTAAAACGAACGAATGTAAAAGTAGATAATAATATTGTTTTTTATATGAACTTAAATGCATTATTCTCGTTAAAAACGTACACTCAAATTCCTTATTATTAGAAGATGTAGACTTTCATGATTGGGGAAATTTTTCAACATTATTTTTTCTTTCTGTCGTTCTTTTCTGATGTCTGAAATCAATATGAAGTTTTATTTTGTTTTATCATTGACATAGATCTCTGATACTGTAACATAACTATATAGAAGATAATATAGAAGCAGAATGTGTGTCTTATTGAAGTTATTTCACTTCAACTAGTAAATATGTAATAATCGATAAATGATTAATATTCGCATTCGAATATTTAGCTTGTGAGTGTGGATGGGGTGTACGGTATCAGTGAGAGTTATCTTGACGAGACGATTGACCTCTAAATTTATACTCATCCTCATCTTCACACCCACACCCTCCCGAGCAGGGGCTCTAGGGGTGACACCGCCCAATCTTCGAAAATTTCGTTGTCTTTTCTTCTTTATTTACGAATCTGTTTGAGAAATTTCTAAACATTTTCGAAAAATCGTTGATTCCTCTCAAGTTCTTTCATATTGGGATACCTCTACGTCTGGATCTAGATCTCATCATTTCCTAGATCCCACCCTACACCCATATCCTCACATTAATCAATGAATTAAAAATCGTTGAAGAAAAAAGTTCCTGTCCAAATAACTATGTTCTTCCTCATTAAACAAAAACATGCTACTACATTTATATCCTCATACACACTCACAAGTCGAAAGAAGTCCATATTCACTCTCTTGATTTTCAGGTGCAACTACTGTTTTTTACAAAATAGAATGTGTGCCTAGAGAAATTGAAGATTTCTGGAACGCAAACAGCTTATAATAGGTGCTATTCGTCAATCAAAAGTGAGCATTGAATGAAATCAATCTATGCACAAGTCAAACATTCGGAGGACAGTCCTATTTTTTCTTTCTCGGAATATCGTTGGAAACTCGTCTTTCTAATCAGCGGAGCTTTATCAATGTTGCACCCAAAAGTTCATGTACCTTGTAGTTCAGGATCTGCTCAGACAAAGGCACATAAACCAGAGGTTTCTTCGTTCCTTTGTTCTAGTGATGGCTGGTTGGAGCTGAGACTAGGTATTTGGATGGGCGTCAGTATGTGTGTGAGTGTAGATGCATGAATTAGTTGGTGTGGATACATCATCTCACCATATACCAGAGTTGCCAGATATCAACCTCGAAAATCCGGAATGCAAATCTCAAATTGCGGGAAATCTCGGAATTTTTATTTTGAAATCCGGAAAGATATTCGAGGGTCAGTTTGAACCGCTAAAAATTCGTTTTACTTGAATAAACTATGAAAAACGATATTCTTTATATCTTCCAAATACATTTGAATAAAAAAACTACACATCAAAACATAGTTAACTCAATTCTAAGAACTTATCAATTACACATCTCGCTCTTAATCTACGCGTTCTTTTTAGTACAAATTGATTATTACATTTCATGTACATTACTTGGGGTGAATCCATGGGAAACGTACCACTTTATACATGACTTTCTCAGAATCGACTGAAACTTTCATGGTTTGTAGAGCGCGATGAGCTGATCATTTTGGTAATAAATTATTAAATGTTTGAATATAGACTCGAGTTGAAATAACCAAAATATGATTTTCGAAATTTCGGGAAAACCATCGTCAAACTGAAAAGTTCTAGTTTTTGCGCGAAGATTTTCTTTTTAATGTTAGAACCAAAAGAAAACATCCTATATATATTCTGATAGCCCGCGTTCAGCTCTATCGAACCACATATGAGCCAAGTCGTTCAGCTTCAAAAAGTGAAACTTTTAATGGAAGCCCAATAATTTCATTGCTACGCAAACTTTGTCTTCGAATAAAAATCTCTTCCGAATTTGGGTGAAGGGTGGGATACTAGGTTTTGTAGAGCGTCGCTCGCTCTATCTTCTGGTATATAGGGCTGCTTAGCCGCTTTCCATTTTCGCTCCTTAGAGAGTCAAGACATTTATATATTAGCTGTTTTAACAGTTCTGAACTCATACTTCGGGAACTTTTTAGTGAAATACTCGATTGATTATTCTGAAAATTTAAATCCAGAAAGGTCTCAACTAGTAGATATATTTTGAAAGTCTAACAACTGTGGCCAATAGGAAAGTTCCTAGCCGTGTTGTGCTCGGGATTCGGTTTTTCGGCACGCTTTCATCCATTTTTTAAGCCGTTGAAAACTCTTTTTAATAGAGAAGAGCCTACTCTGAGTTAAACCAATATCCGAACCGAAATCAGCATCGGAAACTGTTAGTGTCAACAGATGTTATGTTGTTGCCGCTAGCCTTTTTCATTCTTTTCGTTCTCCTTTACGTACCTATATGTGAGCCGCGATGTTTTCCCAACATATACATATTTGTCTATATTATTTCTTTCTCTCTCTCTCGCGCGTAGCTATATCAACAAGTTTTCGCTAGTAGTTCAGTTGTTTATTCTTGTTATCTGGGTCACCCGTTTTCCTTGAATAAAATACATATTCATCATCTGAACCTATATTATCTTCTTTATTATATCAATCTACAAATTAAAGTAGGATAACTAACACTACTAACATAGCTAATACAGATCTTAGTTTTCTATTGATTTCTTCCGACCTATTAACATTTAATGGGTAGGAGATTTGGATGAAAGAGAAAACTAAGAGACACTGGATTGATTTATGTATCTTTCAAATATCTCTGAGAATTTTCATTTCTCTCGAAAATTGGTCCTCTGTTCTCCGTTAGAGTACTCTAACAAAAAAGTAATTTCTCGTCAATATTATTTGCTTCGCGGAATGAAGTGCTATCACTTCTTAAATAATACTGTCACTGAAATGACAGCCTGCTAAACGGTAAAAGCTTCATTCTGGTAGAAGCCACTTGTTGAGGGTACCCTGAGCAGAAGTATGAAGAAGGTTTTCTAGAAAAATGAAAATTCTTAGCGATGTTTGAAAGATACAAAAATCGACTCAGTTTTCGGTGTTGAGCTCGAATTATTATTAGTTTTGACCTTTACCGAGCTTATCTTTAGGAAAAAGGAACGCTCATACCAGCCAAAAGTGGGCAGAAACGTGAAAAAAACCGTCCCCAAAGCACAAAGTGACTAAAAGTTTTCCTAGTGGCCCAATGCTGTTGACTTTCAAAATATACGGTTTTTGTAGCTTTTCAAAAGACTTATCCAATGAACCGTGCCAGAATTTTTCTCATTTGAATTTTTATGATAAAATATTTGTTGAAAAATAATAGTTGATCATAAATATAGGACCTATATCAACAGTGTCTAACAGAATACGAGGTTCCTCCTCATTGAATCAAATAATCACTGATTAATCATATATACGATTGAAATCCTATTAAAACACTATCAAATACTGATTTTGTACAGGTAGTTTTTCTTTTGAATTTACTCTAACAATAAGTTGACCGTAATCGAGCAGGTTATTGGACAAATGACCAAAAAGTGAGCTGCTTCGTTAATGGCTTTTTGTTCCAAAAGTTCGGTCAAAACCCCACGAAGATAGTGTCGACATGTTTGTTTCAACATGCTGTTAGTATTGGTATAAGATTCAATGGGTTTGGACAAAAAACCTCCAAATCGGTCGAACTGGCTTCTGATACGCCCCTCTCTCTTTTGAGCGTTGAACTGTTCAAACAATGGTTTTGACATTTTACTATTATAAGAGGATGTGAAAGACAATATGATAGTTTGTAAAATTTTGCATGA